GTCAGCTGCTCTAGCCTTGCAGTGGCCACACCCACAGCCCAAGACATTGAGGATTGGGGTGCCTAATCAGTCCCCCCCCCCCCCAACTGAGATAGCAAGTCCCTCCTGGTCGGAAGATACCATGGGACACCTTGACATAGGCCCCATAGCAGTGGGAACCATGGTCATGCTGGCCAATACGGAACAACCAGCAGCACCCTGTAGCCCTCCTTGAGGACTCCTTGAAGAGTCGATCGAATTAGAGAAAGGAGTGGAAAGGTATATAAGAGAACCCTTGGCCAAAGATGGGCTAATGCGTCCTGGCCTAGCGCACCAGACGCCCCGGTAGGGGAGTATCATAGAGGACACTGAGTCGACTCCTCTGTCGCAAACAGGTCTACCTCTGCCTGACCAAAACGTTCCCAGATCATTAGCACTATGTCGCTATGGAGGGACCACTCTCCCAGAGCAGACCCCTGGCAGGAGAGAAAGTCTGCAGCCTGATTGTGTCGCCCTGGTAAGTGTGCCACCCACAGGGTAGACAGGTGAGGAGAGGCCCATTTCAAGGGCTCTCTGGACATACTCAGAAGTTGTGCTGACCCGGTGCCCCCCATGTGGTTGATGTGATAAACAACAGAGGTGTTGTCTGACCGAATGAGAACATGCCCCGCTTCCAGGTGGGGCAAGAAGTACCCGAGTGCCAAATGCAGTGCACGCAGCTCCAGCACCTTATATGGTTGGAGCGGTCCTTTGACCCCAGCGGCCCTGAACCGCTTTGCGTTGTCACACAGCACCCCATCCTATGGAGCTAGCATCCGTCGTAACCGCTTCCATGCGACACACTACCACTCCCATGGGGACACCCCTGGACAACTAATCTTTGTCCTTCCATGGAGTCAGGGCATGAAGACGTGACCATGTCACTTTGAGCTTGTGATACCTGTGCAGCCTGGCATCCAGGCGAAGCTGTTGAGCCACCTCTGCAAGGGGCGAAGTGACAGCGGACCTAAGGGCACCACCCGAGTGACTGACGTCAGTTGCCTAGTAGCTGCTGGAAGGCAACGTAGGGGAGCTGCCTGCCAAGCCTGAACCGACTGACCAACTGGAGTATGCCGCCCATCCTTTGAGCGGATGGGCGAGCTCTCATGGAGGGTGAATTCAGAGCCACCCAAGAAAGGTGATCGTCTGAGAAGGGATCGGGCAGCTCTTTTCCAGGTTGACATTAAAGCCCAACTCGAACACATGAGTAAGCAGACGATTCGTATTGTGAAAGGCACAGGCCCGAGAAAAGGGCGCAGAGAAGGCAATCAATTAGTACAGCAGAACCTACACTCTGTAGGCCTGCAGGAGAGAGGGCTGCCTTCACGCACCGAGTGAACACCCCCGGGAAAAGAGAGTGTCTAAATGGGAGTACCCGGAACTGCCAGTGATGACCCCAATAGGAAAACCTGAGAAAGTGGCGATGTCCTGCCGCAATAGGCACATGAGAATAAGCAGCTTTCAGGTCTATAGATGTGAACCATTCTCCCCTCGTGACAGCTTGAAGGACCAACATGTGAGAGGGCACACATGTGAGAAGTGCTGCCCTCTCATGAGCATGTGAGAGGGCAGCACCCTACGATACTGGTTGAGTCCCCTCAGAACTAAAATGGGACGAAACCCGCCGTCCGCTTTGCATGAGGAATTAAGTCGTGTAATAGCCTCTGGGTTGTTACAGAGGGTCCACTGCCTCAATTGCACCCTTGGCCAGGAGGGCAAAAAACTCCTGGTCTAGTGCTCGAGCCTTCACCGGGTCAGTGATTAAAGTCACCTTGACCCGTCGTGAGATGTGGGGCCGCTGTCAGAACTGTAGTCTGTAACCATGGGTCAGAGTGGCAACCACCCATGGGTCCATGGCGTGAACCGCCCAGTAACTGAACTGCTGGTGGGAGAAGTATCCAGCGGTCGGCCCGGTGGCATCAGCGTCTCCCTCCACGGCTCCTGGGGGTCGTGGGGTGGGGCGGCCAGAGTCCCTGGTCCAAGCCTGCCCAGCTGGTCGATGGACAGACCCACGAAAGTTCTTGCTGGGCCTTTGCTGAACCGCACAAGGGTAAAGACCACCCGGCCGATTATGACTCCCAGGCGGCGGCTGCATGCTGGGGTCAGCTGACGGGCGCCTTGGATGCCAAGGAGGTGGAGGGGGCATTGCCCTGCTAAGGCTCGATCGTGCCTGGACGGTCCGTTCCAGCGCTTCCAAGGCAGCCAAACCGAATAACTCCCCCAGCACCACTGGGACATTACGGAAGGTTCTACGACATGGCACAGTCAATGCTGAATGTGCCAACCAGACCTGTTGGCAAGCCTGGACCAAGGAGGACATCACGCGCCCAAGTTCCCTCGTCATTAGTGCAAAGGCTTGAAGCACTGCATCGCTAAAGCCCATTGCTGCTACCGCACCACTAGTCCCCTGAAGGGACGCGGAGAGAGCAAGCATGAGGTGTGCCAAGGAATTGCCGAAGCGGCCAGCCCGCGTTCTGGCGGCATAGGCTCTGCATAGGAATTCATCCGTGACGCGACACTGAGCTCATGGGCACCGAACATCACTGAGCAGATTTCTCTAGTGACACGATGAGAGGGGCAACAGCAGGTTTCATCGCCGGCATGCGATCCAAGCCTGCTCCAAGCCTGCTGCAGCCAGCTCATGCACAGCCGCCAACACTCGTCCATCGGCGGAGAGGCGCGCAAAGGCTTTGGGGTCCCGCCAGCAACCATGCAACTCCCTCAGGAACTCCTCTGATGGAGGGACAGAAAAGGAAGGAGGGGTCAGTCCGTGACTGAAGAAGGCACTTCCAGGGGTGGACTCCTCTGGTTGCGGGACGTCCAGCTGCAGTTGTCTCAGGGCCATACGCATGACGTTCTGCATCGAGCCGTCACCGGACCCACTAACTGCGCTTCGAGAAAAAGAAAGTGAAGCTGTCTCTGAGACTTTAGATGAATGCCCTTCCTCCTCACCTAAAAGTGAGAGGCAGAGGCAACCAAGGATAGTACATCTTCCTCTGCAGCCAGTTCAGGCATGGGTGGGGAGGAGAGTCCGGTCGCTGCCACTGATTCAGTTCCCAGTTGGCATACCTGAAAAAGGGACTTCATCTCCACTAATTCAGCAGAGAGCTGCTCCACCCTCGTGGAGAGGCCCATATCAGACCTGGCCCGCCTCTTCCCAGGAGGGGCCACAGAAACTGCGGCCTCAGTCCGGCGCTTCGAGCACCTAGGTGGAGCCTCCTGCCCAGAAGGCGGGAGGTCATCGCAGAGTTTGGGGCGAAACTTGGCTAGCCGGGCCACCCTCACAGCACGCGACATGAAGTTGCAATTCATGCAGGGGTTCTCTGACAGGGCCTCCACCAGATGGTCATGTCCAAGGCAGGCAGGACACACGTCGTGACCGTCATCTGTCTGGAGCATGGTTCCACAGACTGTACAGCAGTGAGAGCCGTCCATGCTCCTTACCCAGCTATGTCCAAGATATAGGACGAAAAAATTACGTGAAGAAACTCTGAAAGGTTAACACCGCTAGCTCAGCTGGTAAAGAGAACAATTGGGAGAGGGGGCGCGAACGCTCACCTTCACCAATTAAAACAAGGCCAAAACTCAGAGAGGCTAGCACCGCTAGCTCAGCTGGTAAGAGAAGACAATTGGGAGAGGGGGCGCGAACGCTCGCCTTCACTAATTAAAGACAAGGCCAAAACTCAGAGAGGCTAGCACCACTAGCTCAGCTGGTAACGAGAACAATTGGGAGAGGGGGCGCGAACGCTCGCCTTCACCAATTAAAGACAAGGCCAGAACTCAGAGAGGCTAGCACCGCTAGCTCAGTCCAACAGTCTATGAGGTTGGAGAAAATGACCGGGACAGGGTGCGAAAAACGCTAGCCTTCACCAATTAAAAACAAGGCCAGAACTCAGGCTCAGTCCAACAGTCTATGAGGTTGGAGAAAATGACTGGGAGAGGGAGGAAAAACGCTAGCCTTCACCAATGAAAACAAGACCAGGAACTCAGCTGGCTATGTAATAAGCAAACAGTCCAGCCGACCACGCGGTTGGAGGCCTCCAAACAAATGGGAGCGGAGCGAACGCTACCACTAACCAACGGCGAAATATAAGAAAAAACACTACTCACCGGTGTTGAATCACATACATAGTAGTCAGACGCTGTAAGTTGGGAGAGGCGGAAACCGCCGTAGTCCCCAACGAATCAACAGAAAATACCTTTGAACAGGGTTAAACCGTCGCAGCCCCTAGGAGGGCGAACATGCTACTCCCGCAGACGGGCAGTTGGGCTTCCGATGACAGTAAAAAGTTCAAAATAGGTCCAAAGGGCTGAAGCCCTGAATTGAACTGCGTGCGAGAAGAAAAATGGAGCAGAGCTGCGAATGACGTCAGGCTATATAGCCTCTGATTGGTCATCCGAGTCACACCTGTGAGTCCGTTGATATTATTACTTGAACAGCGCATGCGCGAAGGGAACATTCAGTGCTTTCAGCACCGCCCTCTGGCGGTCAGGAGGGATGAAATAGAACTCATCTACATTAATGTTACTGGTTTTTGAAAATGTTCTTTAGAGTGTTCAGCTGAAACAACCTAAACTGAGCAAGTTATATAAATATAAATATTACTGGAAAATATTTTCATGACTGATTATCCACAAGAAAAAAAACCCTACCCATTTAGGGTAGTTTTTTTTTTTTTGTAAAGGTACAGTCCACACAAAAAATGTCAAAAATCACATTTTTTGGTTTTCCCACAAAACTAAATATTAATCTTGTGGACTGAACGGCTGAAATAAACGTCTCACACGAAGTAACAATATTCCTACTTGTACATTTTGAAAATGCAGAAGATCAAATCTTGAACAGGAGTTGGGCTGCCTGCCAAGGTGGGTCCACAGTGATCCAATCTAATGAGAATACTTGGAGACCTCTTTCCACACAGATCAAGTGCAGGAACCTTTCTGATGCAGTCATCTTATAAAAGCTTAACCTGCAGCCGTACCTCGTCAGCAGGAAGCTGATCCTTGAACTCCTCCATCTTGGACTCCGTGTCATGGATTATACCCTCGGCCATGTTGACGGCCTCCACACAGTCCTACAAGAACAGAGCTCAGGTGTTACTCTGAGGTGAACAGGACCAGACCAACGGTTGGACCAGGGGTGTAAGAGTCAACGCAGCCGTACTTTTCTCCTCCTGTCCTCCTCAGCGTATTTCTCAGCGTTCTTGATCATGTTCTCGATGTCGTCTTTGCTCAGACCTCCTGATGACTGGATCACGACTGAGAAAGAAGAAAAGACACAAACATGTTGAGCTTCTCAGCAACTCTGACATTGCTCATGGCGGAAGTGTTGCTGACGTCAGTCTGCAGTGAAACACCCCCCCCCCCCCATCCCTATCCCCCTATCCAGGACATGGTAAATTCAAATAAGCTCAAGACAAAAACAATAAAGTATAATAAATAAAGTTTAGTTGTTTTTGTCTTGAACTTTTCATTATAGCCATGTTTACCTATTACATGATAATAATTCAGCCATCACGTGGCTGAAAAATAGTGTTCATTTTTTTTCATTGGTTTATAAATCTGGAAAATCCATAAATATGTTGCTTCGGCCTAGAAGTCGCATGGCATGAAAATTATACAAAAAACTGCGACTTAAAATACTGTAAGCCTTTTTAAAGAGCTGTGACTGTTCAGTGAGAGCAGAACTTTTAAAGAGCTGGTAGACGAGGTCTGCAAGAGGCAACAGAACCAACTTTCAGTGTTGGAAACAAAACGAGCAGACCTGATGAATCCTCATGAAGTCCTTAACTTTATGACAAAAGTGTTCCCTAAAGAGAAACAAGTTCACTTCACTAAACCATTTCAAAATACTTAAAATATTCTTTACCCCACAATAAAATAGTCAATTGTTTACAGCTAGTTCAGCCTGAAATTAAAAAGCTATAATCATTAAAAAAATATTAAAGGGTTTTTAGTTTATGGGTGAGAAAAACTTCTTTTTTTGAAGAGGAATAACAAAAAAAACAAAAACATTTTACTCATCAGTATGCCCTAAAAATGCATTTATAATGGGATTTCCCTATGGTGAATTTTTACTCCCAGGAAACACTAGAGGACAGTAACACTACTCTGAGGTTACAGGAGCATTAGAAACAATTCTGACAAAATATTAAATAAATTAGGATTTTAAGGTTCTGTCATAAAATAAAAATCATGACTTACTGACTGATAAAAAAAAAAAAAATGTGTTGATAAGACTGAGGGTTCATTAGTACAGCACTGTGTTAGCTTGCAGCGCTCTGAGTCATGAACTGGACTCTGCAAAACCAGGTCTCATCTGAGCCACTTGATTTATGAGGAAAACAAAGACGCTTCATTTTGTGCAGTTGTTACAAAAATGTGGGCATTTCTATTGGCTGACATTTTAACTCTCTTATGAATAAGTCTGTTTTTATGTCTTAGCTCATCTTCAGTTTAGAGGACGCCATTTTTGTAGTTTGGTCTTTAAAAGCTGTTGAACAACAAGACTGTTTATATTTTCCTTCCTAAAGCATTTTTATTCAAGTTATTTTTTTAAATATATATTTTTTGCTACCATGTCTGGTTATTTTTATTACAATAAAAACTGTTTCACTAAAACACCATTGTTAATCAAAATAAAATAATTTTCTTTGCAGCTGGAGCCCTGACAGAATGTCAGGGGTGCCGTTTGCTGCAAAGGGATGATCCAGATGTGTGACAGCTGGCTCAGGGCTGGATTTTTATTATTTATTTATTCTAAATTTTTTACTTAATCTAGTAAAATATAAATATATAACCCCTTAATTGGCATGTAGGGTTGATGCCTTTTCTCCACCCTAAACTCTGTTCTCCACCTCACTGAACCATCACCTCTGGAAGCCTCGACTGAGCTGTGCGACAACTTCTTACATTTCTTTTTGGAAAAAATTGCGACCACCCGGGCTCTCATTTCCCCTCCAACTCATGACCCATCCATCCCACCTCAATCTATAGCTCCATTAGACCATTATGAACCCATCACTCCATCTTCTCTAGAGCAGGTCATGTGAAGCTTGAAACCGTCTGGTTCCCCCTTTGATGTGGTCCCCCCTCGACTACTACAGGTTTTTCCAACTCTAGGTCCGTCCATTCTTACTATAGTAAACAGCAGTTTACCCACTGGCGTGGTGCCAAAATTCTTTAAAACACGCTGCTGTCCAGCCTCTCCTGAAAAAAACCAAACAAACCTTGACCCCTCAGTAGAATCCAACTTCCGGCCTGTCTCCAAACTCCCATTTGTTTCTAAACTACTGGAGAAAATAGTCGAGTCCCAGTTCAAGTGCTTCCTGGATGGCCACGCCATCTTAGAGCTATTCCAATCTGGCTTTAAACCTCTCCATAGCACTGAAACTGCCCTGCTGAAGGTCTTTAATGACATTTTCTTAACCACTGATACCGGTGATTCTGTGCTGCTTGTCCTGTTGGACCTCACAGCCGCCTTGACACCATCGACCATGAGATCCTCATTGCTAGATTGGAGCAGTGGGTGGGCATCACAGGGTCAGCCCTCCATTGGTTCAGATCCTACCTCACTGACAGATTTGTGTCTCCATCAAGGATTTTAGTTCTGCAGCGGCAGAGCTTAAATAGGGGGTTCCGCAGGGGTCCATCCTGGGTCCCCTCCTATTCTCTTTATACCTGCTGCCGCTTGGTGCTATTTTCCGGAAACACAACATGCCCTTCCACTTCTATGCCGATGACTGTCAAATTTACTTCCCCCAAGACACAATGGCACATGCTGTATTCAACCTCTGCTCAACTGCCTGGCTGACATCAGGGACTGGATGGCTTAAAAGTTCTTAAGTTTCAATGAAAAGAAGCCTGAAGTCATGTTGTTTCCTCCCAATGACACAATCACAAACCACTGCATCGACCTCTCCGCTCTAACCCTGTCAGAAAAACAATGAGTCACTAATCTGGGAGTGATAATGGACCCTTCCCTGAAACTTAATCATGTAAACATGATTGTTAAATCATGTTTCTTCCAACTGAGGCGGCTGTCTAAACTGAAGCCCATATTGTCCAAAAATAACCTGGAGACAGTAATACATGCATTCATTAAATCTAGGCTTGATTACTGCAATTCACTCTTGTTTGGTATAAGTCAGACCTCCATTGAACGACTACAACTTGTCCAGAATGCAGCAGCCCGATTTTTAACCAGTACAGGCAAAAGAGAGCACATTACACCTGTTTTGGCCTCACTGCACTGGTTACCGGTTCACTTTCGAATCCAGTTCAAAATACTCATGTATGGCTAAAAAACACCGAAAAGGCCCCCCCCCCCCCCAAAAAAAAAAAACCTCTCTGATCTGCTACAACCGTATGTCCCACTACGTTCCCTGAGGTCAGCGGACCAGTTGCTCCTCACAGTTCCAGGAACTCGTCTTAAGCGCAGAGGTGACAGGGCCTTCTCTGTAGCAGGACCAAGACTCTGGAACGAGTTACCTCTGCTTGTCAGACAGGCCCCCTCCCTCTCGGTTTTCAAGTCCCGTTTAAAAACCCACTACTGGTGGCTTTCAACACCAGATCTGTGTTTTGAACATGTATGCTCCACACTGGTTTGTCGTCATTATCTGCATTGTTTTTATGTCTATATTCTGATTTACTTCATTTTGTATTTTGCTTTGTGTATTACCTGTTGTTCTGTCTGTACAGCACTTTGGTTGGCCTTGTCGCTATTTTAAGCGCTCTATAAATAAAATGGTATGGTATGCCTTGCTCTTAGGTTTCTGTTCTGGTGTGAAACTAAACGTTAATGCTGCTGTCATCAAACATCTCAGGTGGTTCTGGTGTGAACAAGTCAGAACCGTAGAGTTTATTCAAATAAATAAAAACAGAGTCGAGCGCAGACACTCACTTTGCTGCTCGCGACCCGTGCCCTTGTCTTTGGCCGACACGTGGACAATTCCATTGGCGTCGATGTCAAAGGTGACCTCGATCTGAGGGACTCCGCGGGGAGCAGGGGGGATTCCCACCAGCGTGAACTGGCCCAGCACCTTGTTGTCCAGGGCCATCTCCCTTTCCCCCTGACACACCTTGATCTCCACTTGAGTCTGACCGTCAGCTGCTGTGGAGAACACCTGCACGGAACAGAGATGGTGACCACGGGGCGCCCGGAGTGCTCACATCCACAAAGGGCGGGGTCGAGGTACGGAACAACACACCTGGCTTTTTTTGGTAGGGATAGTGGTGTTCCTGTTGATGAGTTTGGTGAAGACCCCTCCAAGAGTCTCGATACCCAGCGACAGTGGAGTCACATCTAAAAGCAGCACGTCGGTGACGTCGCCAGCCAGAACGCCGCCTTGGATCGCTGCTCCGATGGCGACGGCCTCATCAGGATTCACAGACTTGCTGGGAGCTCGGCCAAACAGGTCCTGGACCGTCTGCTGGACCTGCAGACGCAGAACAATGTTGAGTTTAATTACAGACAACAAACTGCTCCACTGCTTTGCCCTTCACAACTAAATATCTGACATTTAACTGTAACAGTAGAAGTTCCAATATTATACAAAATTCAACATAAACATGTTGCTTTAAACAACAAGAAGAGCATTCCACAGTCTGAGCTGCAGAAACATCCACAGCACTGATGAGAAACAGTCTGTAGTCATCTGCAAACCCTCAGAATCAGACTCTCGTTTTTAGTTATAAACATCAAGAGGATCAAGTTTGTTGCTGCAGCTTCGAGTGGATGAAAGACAACGTGCACAGTTTAACACACAGATGCTCAAACAGTAAAATTAAAACCAACTCAAAGGAATGAAACGGTCAAGACGGGGGTGGGTTTGTTCCAAGCAGTGACAAGAACTAGAAGCTTCCTACAGCCCTGTTGATTTTTAAAGGGCTACAAAGTGGAAACTGGCACAGCTGAGCCCAGCTGTACCAACAAGGATTCACTGCACCACAGAAAATGAAGGTAGCGTTTCCCTTACCATTATACAAGCAGGGCGCCCAACCCCACCCGAAAACTGTCAGTAGAAACAGTGTCATGTCTCTGTGTCTGCCCCCCGCTCGACAAAAATTACAGATGAGTGCCCTGGCATGGCATCTTATGAGTGCCCTGGCATGGCATCTTATCTGGGGGAAACACTGGAAGGAATATAAATAAAGATCCACAGCTAGCAGGATTAACAGCAGCACGTCTCTGCACCCGAAGCCTTTGTCTCATTAAAGGCTTTTACAGCTTCAGGTAGTGGAAGGTGAACAGGACCAGACCAGACTGGGAGTAAACTTTAATTCACACGTCCAAACGATGTGGACAGTC